TTTTTTTTTTTTTTTTTTTTTTTTTTTTTTTTGCGTATGAATATTTTCTTTCTTCTTGATTTGGCAAATGTCATAACCACTTTTGCTATATATTGATGCATGTTGTAGTGGTTTGCCAAACTGTTAGTGGGAATTCGATCCGATGAATGTTTTGGACTTGTGATTACAACATAAATATCGAATCCATGAAATCACTGAACTCATCATGTGCATCAAATGTTGGATTTATAGGGACACAATGCCACTGTGAATGGAAAATGCTATTTGAATCTAAAAAATTAACATAATTTAGTAATTTAATGACGTGGTTTCATTGGATTAACACGAAGTTCTAATGTTTGATAAAACTCACAGTCAATCCAACGGTCATAATAAATTAGGTTCGAGAGGAAAGTTTTTGTTTAACATTTTCAAAAAGACAACCTATTTGTTCATTTACTAAGTTCGGCACAAAATCTTAAATTAGTTATATATTATAACTTATCCTCATTCCTACAAGTTACAACAAAGATAAAAAATACTAGGGAAAGTCTATGGTGTTGGAAAAAAAAAATTGTTATTATACCAACAGTTACAACATTTTATGATAAAATTACACATTTAAAAGGAGAAGTTACAAATACTTAAGGGAAGACGATGATCGATCATAGATATTCATGATTGATTATAGACTTTCCTTGAGCGCACACTTCTCCTTTATTAGTTGTAATTTAACTTTTAAAAGTTGTAAATTAATTTCAGCATCGATCGTAATTTTTCATAATCGATCACGTCTTTTATAAAATATAATATATACCTCAAAAAAATTGTAATTTAATCTTAAAAAGTTGTAGATGATACAAGAGCCTTTCCCAAAATACTAATTAGTTATTAGTGTGAGTATGCATACAGGGGCAAAGCCAGACTCTTTCTATAGTGGGGGCAATATAAAATTTATTTATATATTAAAATTTTAAGATTAACATTACTTTCAAAAAAATATTATTCAATAATATTTTTTTATAATTACAATTACATAAAAAAAAAAAAAAGGTCAATAATAGCAGCACAAACTATATGCAACATTTTTTGTATAATGTTCTCTTATCAATTTTAAAACTTATTAAATCAAAAAAAACAATTAATAGGAATTTTTTTAAAAAAAATGTAAATCTATCAAAAAATTTTCACCTAAAATTAGATAAAGCTTCAATTGAATCTATCATAATTCATAACTAAATTATTTAATTTCAATTAATCGGAACAATTAGACACAAACTAAAATAGGCAAATTTCAATTTGAGCAACCCAATTAAATATAACAAAATTCAAATAATTTCAGTTCCACAAATTAAAATATCCTATAAGACAAGACTAACTAGATCTATAATTTATCAATGCAAGGCTACTAGGGGTGTCAAATTAAACGGTTACGTGTCAAGTTAAACGGGTGAAAGGTAAAAAATATGTAAATTTATACACCACACATTTAATAAACGAGTGAAATACACCAAGATCAACACAAACAATTTAATAAACAGGTAACACAACATAACTCGTTTAACAACAATTGGCCACCCAAAATAAATTACAAAAGTCAAGTCAAAATTCTCGACTGACCCCAATTAGAAAAAACTAACTATCGAGTCCAATTATATAAAACACGCAATGCAGGAGTAAAGACAAAGGGCTGCCCTTTTTTTATGGGCATTGTCTTCCTAATTGATGTGGGTAGCTCTGTACACTGTAGATTTTAACACAGAAAAATTCCTTAAAGCTTTTAATCAATTTTTTTTAACTACATTTATATTATTATTTTTATTTAGGATTCAAAATCTAAATTAATAGTTAAAATATATTTATATTATATTTTTTTAAAAAAATATTTATTAATTTATTATTATATTTAAACGTGTTGATAAGACTCACCCGAATATGACTCGTTTATTAAACGTGTTTGACAAGTCAATTCGTTTATTACCCGAACCCGTTAAAATCTTATCTAAATTTGTTTAATTCGTATCGGTTAATGGTGTTGTGTTGAAGTTTGACATTCCTAATGACTGCAACACTATATCAATAAACTTATTTTGTATAACCAAATTTTTTTACGTCTCCCTCCTCAAACAATTTCAAATAATATTTTAAACAGATCGATATAAAAGTTGATGAAATCGTCATTGTGCAGTTTAGACCCAAATAGTGGAATTCAATGGTCTATAATGAAGAAAAAGTTGAATAGATAAGAATAATAGAAACTCTAACTACAGTACTAACAAATTAAAAAAAAATTACAAACCTATTTGTTTATGCCTTATTGTTTACTTCTGTTAGAATATTTTAACTAAAATAGTATTTTTTATATGTGAGAATTCAATTCCACGTCAACTAAATATCTAAAGGTTCTTGAGTGTATATATATATATATATATATACACACACACACTAGTGTTATCTAACCTTTGAATTAAAAAAAAATCTTGGAACTCTCACGTCTACAAGGGTGAGACTAGCGGAGGAAATACGGATTTCTAAAATCTACGAACTACACTATTGTGCCTAGTCCACGACCTGGGTAGTGAGTCCCCCTTATTTTGTTTATTTATTTTCTGTCATTACTTCTATATTAAAATTTTACTTGTTGAATATCAAAAACCTCCAACGACTAATATTCCAACAGCCATATTTTTTGAGTTATTATACAATTAAATATAGAAGTAATTATAACCTATTAAACACATATATTATTTGTATATATATATACACGTATTTTCAGTATAGAGATATGTAATATCATATTAACTATCTTATTACAATATAATTTTTTGAGCAATATTCAAAGGTATGTGTGAACCTTCTGTTTCATTTGATTGTGCATATCTGAGTAAAGCAACAGTCAACAGACTGAGCTGTTGTATCCTGGGACGACGCGTTACTATCTTATGCACTGTGATTCTTTTATAAAAAGGCGTGAATCATTTTAAGAAAGCGATCTAATCCGTGCTTCACCCTATCATTTACTTTATTTGTATAAATTTTTTTCCAACAACCTCACATGGCTATATTATTGATGGAATGAGCAATGCTAAAAATGAAGCAGACGATTGAACGACTAAAAGGAAAAGGAGAGACATTTTTTTAAACCTAATTCTACAACGAATAAAAGAACCCCAGGATTTATTAAAATTCCAAAACTTCTTTTAAGCCTTTTTAAAAAAATTTCAATGGGGGCAATATCTTCAAGTTTCAAATATTCTATCTTCACCCCCAAAATTTTTCAGATTTGCAGTGGGGGCAACTATCCCCACCGTAAATCCACCCATATATGCATATATATGACATTATCCCTATTACTTCTGTCAATATCTAATTGTATATGCAAGTACAAAGAAGTTTTCACGACTAATATATTCCTAGAATTTGTATTCCATGAAAAGTAGGAAAAATTACTTCTTATAACGGTAATATCATGTCATCAACATATACTAACGCGATATCATCAACCAATATTATATAAATAAATAAATAAATAATGGACCCCAAAAGTTTTCAAATTTGCAGTAGGGCAACTACACCTACTGTAAATCTGCTCATGTATGCATATATATGACATTATCCCTGTTACTTCTGTCAGCATCATATTGTATTATGTAAGTATGAAGTAGTTTTCACGACTAATATATTTATAGAATTTGTATTCCATGAAAAGTAGGAAAAAATTATTCTTTATAACGGTGATATCATATCTTCAATATATATTAACGTGATATCACCAATTAATAATATATAAACAAATAAAAAAATAATGGACCCGAAAAGTTTTCAGATTGTAGTGGGGGCAACTGCCCCCACCGTAAATCCGCTCCTATATGCATATATATTATATGATTTTAGCCCTATTATTGCTATCAACATCGTAGTGTATTATGCAAGTACGAAGTAGTTTTCACGACTAGTATATTTGTAGAATTTGTATTTTATGAAAAGTAGGCAAAATTATTTCTTGTGATAGTGATATTATGTCATCAATATTGACGTTGTATCACCAATTAATAATATATAAACAAATAAAAATAATAATAAACCCCACACAAGTTAATAATTGCATGTCTATGTAAACCAATAACTATCAACTCTTCGCCCATGTAATCACTAACTACCTATATGAGATTCACTTTATTCATTTGAAATTTTATTATTAGTTAGTGATATCAAATTATTAATACCACACGATATCACCCGAAAGAAAAGTAGGAACAAAAACTTATAAGAGTCCAATGGGCGGCTACCATCAAAACTTCCACGAAGGTGGTGCCTGTGGAAAAACATGCATTAGTGGTTTGGATTTTTCTTGTTCCCCTTCTCTGAAAATTTGTAAGTATTTGTGGAATTCCAAAATTCTTGTCTGTACGTATATAATTTCATTATTGAAAACAAGGGTCATGATCGGAGGCTGTCAATTGAGTCGAATTTGTCAGGTTTCAATATATTTTAGTTGACTCAAGTCAACGATTCGATTGCTCTTCTCCAGTTCTACGAGAATAAGTGGCTAACTGCCAATTCTTTTATAAGAAGTATTAATTTGTGGGTCCTCTTTATGTGTGTGTTGAGTTTTGCCGTGTGTGAATTGTTATATGTATTTTTTCTATATATATTCTGTCCAAAATAAGAAAAAGTCAACGATTGGTAACAAATAAAAACATGACAAATTAAAACATACTAAAATCACGTCAATTGACAACCTATGATCATGACCCTGGTCAAAAAAGAGGTTAAAAAATAGGTAAAAAGGGTAAGAAAAAACATAGGTAATGACTAGGGTTGAGCCAGATATTCATCTCAACGGAGGCAAAAATATGAGCAAAAAACTTAATTAAATGGTATTAAAAAAAAATCTTTTCGAACCTCTGTTAAAGACGATTGAATTGAGAGTTATTTTCAAATGAAAAATTTTTATGCTCCGTTTGGTACGATGAAAAAGTGAAAAAATAGAAAGTTGAAAGGATGAAAAATTAGATAGATAAATAAAACATCATGTTTAGTGAGGAAGGAAAGTAAGAAGGATAGAAAAATTGATGAATTAACTTTTCTTCCAACTCACCAAAATCAATCCCTCCAAAATCGGAAAGAAAGTAGATGAAAAGTTAATTATTTGTGTTGAGATGTATTTTATTTGTTTATATATACATATATTATGTATATATTAATTTCATATAAAAATATAATGGTAAAATATGTATATATATTAAAAAAATTTAAAAATAAATTTATAAATAAATAAATAATACAAAAATAAAAATAAAAATTTTAAATTAAAAAAAAATATTTTTTTCCTATCTTAACTAAGGGTGAAAATTTTCTACTCAATACGATGGCACGATTTGAACTCGATATGAAAATAAACATGTCAACTTATAACTTGACACAACACAATTAGTTAAATGAGTTAAGTTAGATTTGACTAATATTCGACACAAAACTGTAATGACTCAATATGAATCTGATACGACACGATTTGATTGTAACCCCTAATCTTAGTCAGCACAAAAAAAAATTATTTTTATTTTTCATTCATCCAACCAAACACAAAGGAAAGAAAGTGTATTCTTCTTACTTTCTATTCTTGAATGATAAAAAGTGTATCCCTCTTACTTTTCATCCTTCCTATTTTTTATCTTCCCTACCAAACAGAGCATTAAGCTAAAATATAATAAAAATATTAAGATTTAAGATTTAACGATTACGTAAAAATCAAGAAATTAATATCAATTCAAACGATATTATCTTTGATAAATATGTATGCGTAAGGGTATTTTACATTTATTTTACTTAATTAAAATATGTCTTCGTAGATTAATTAAGAGAGTGAGTAGACTACTGATTTACCAAAAATAAAAACAACTAGGACACTATATAAATTTCTAAGAATTTATGGGGGCAACATATAAACTTTTAAATTTATGAGAGGCAATATTCTTTAAAACTTTGAACCTTTAACAATGCATGGACTTTTGCCAAAGTTATTACTCAAACTCGACTTGATTTCGTAATCTTGTTTTTCAGAGAAGGAGAAGGAGAAAATTTCAGTCCCATTTTTTTTAATTTATTATATCTTTAAAGATATCTTCTCTATTTTTTGAATGTTCAGTGACACTCTAGAATATAATTTTACTAATATGATATATTTAAAAAAAAAAAATTATCCACATCCACTCTAAATAGGCCTATCTTTAATGAGACTCTCTCTGTTTTGTGAATTTTTTTACCGATTAAAATTCGTTTTTAATTGGTTCAATACGAATTATAATCAATTTGAATTTTGATACGTAAAAAAATATAAATTTTAATCGCCTCAAACTTTAATACGTGAAAAATAAATTTTAATCAACTTGAATCTAATTTTAATAAGTAAAAAAATATAAACTTTTATTAATTCGAATTAGATTTTAATCGACACCAACAACTCAGGAAATCGACTCGAATTTTATTAAGTAAAAAAAATTAAATAGGCTCAAATATTAATACATAAAAAAATAAAATTTAATCAATTTAAATTAACTTTTAATAATCTTTACGCTTTGGGCAATGACGCAGCTAACGAGGTTCTTACCAAGGCGAGTCAATTGCTCGTTGAAAACTATTTCCAAACCCTCTCTTGGGACTAGGTTCAGCCTAGGCCTACAAGAATTTATGGAAAGGCTCCCTTACGTGTAAAGCCTTAAAAAAAAATAATTTTTAATATATAAAAAAATAAATTTAATCTATTTGAATTTTAATATATATATATATATATATATATATATATATATATAAAATAAATTTTAATCGATTCAAATTTTATATAAAAAGGCTTTAGGTGAATTATTTTTGTTAAAAATGGTGGTTTAATGGAAGGGGTGTTAGTGATATTTAAATATAAACTAAAAATAATGTCAATGATATATTAAATAATAGAAATTATAACTTTAAAAATATAATAAATTAAAAAAGGTGCGGCGGAAATTTTCTCAAATAAAAATGTTAGAAGAATCACGCACCTTTGCGTTGATCCTCCAAACAAACAATTTCCACGAAAAGAGCAGGAAGCCACGTGACCGAATCCTCTTTTGTACTTATTCTTTGCCACGTCACCTCCCCCACTCTTTTTCCCTCTCTCTCTATATATATATATATATATTCGTATGCGTCTGGATAGCGTCGTCTCTCTCTCTCTCTCTCACACCTGATATCTGCATTCTGACGCGACGTATCGATTATGGAGTCATGCGACGGAAACTCAGACAAACAGTTCTTCCAAAACGTCGTCGTAATGAGGCACGGCGACAGGATAGACAACTTCGAGCCGCTGTGGGCGGCCACGGCGGCGAGGCCGTGGGATCCACCTTTGGTTGACGCCGGGAAGGTCAGAGCGTTCTGTACGGGCAAGAAGATCCGCACCCAGCTCGGGTTCCCGATCCACCGGGTGTTCGTCTCCCCATTCCTCCGATGCCTCCAGACCGCCTCCGAGGCCGTGTCTGCCCTCTGCGCCGTTGATGATGATCCGACCCAAATGAGCTCCGAAGGTGTCCAAATCGACCCCTCCAAAATCAAGGTCAGACTATTATACAAAACCTAGATGTACAAGATAAACATTTTGTTTTTTGTGATTTTCATGTTTAAAATTATTGCATTTTATAGATTTGTGTAATGTATTTGAATAAGATTTCTGGTGGTTATTTGTGATTTGAATTCAGATTTATACAGTTGCTCATAATTAAATCAAACCAATCTAAACCAAGTGGTATGTCCCTATCATTTGGATCGGTTATATGAATCTGTCTTCGCCGTTTATTTCGGTCATCATTTAAGTTAATGAGTATAATAAATGAACAAAATGGTTAAAATTGAAATCCATGGTGATTAAGATATAGATTCTAGTTATATATGTGTGTGGGTGGGTGTGTGTGTGCGTGAATTTTTTATGATTCTGGAAGTACAGAGCTTGATGGTTCTTATTTACTGCAAAACAACTATCTGAATTTGTTTTAATGAACATTTGGTTGCTTATAGTGACTATGTCCTTTTTAGGTTTTGATACTAATTTTTCTCTGATCTAAAAGACAAACCATTTGTTCAAGTTGATGGGGATGGTCATTTAAGTTGATTGATGACATATAATTTGATAGCTGACGGTTTAACGAAAAATATGGCCATTGATAGACTTAGGATTCATTTAGCTGATTCTAAATAATTGGAGTAAAGGTTTTGTTCAGATAAGTTGTGCTAGAGGCATATGAAGTGTAGATTAACCCCTCATCAAGTAATGATCATTGGATTTTTGGGTGGCGCATGGACCTTAGAATAATGTTTGTTTCTGTTTAGCGCAATAAGCTTACCATAAAGGAAGGATGCTTAGCGCATTCGCCTCTAATTAATTTAATTTTCATCTCCCTTCAGTTTAGTTGGTAGCATGTGACTGCAGTAATTATCAACAGTTTTTTTCTGATTAAAGATATGTTGCTTGTATTGCTTCCAGTTAGCATACAATTTATATCTGTTGTAAATACTAATGATGTTTTAGCTCGTGGTTTTTAACCTGAGTTATATTTCTTGATATAGAAAACAGATCATGAAAGGATGGAACAGTTGTGGACACCTACAATTCCTTCTTAAAACTATCTAGTGTCGTCCGATTAAACATTTATAGCTCGTGATGCAGCTTTTTGCCTGGTGCTTTGGTAGAAGTCAGCAGAGTTTATAGAGATCCAATGAGACAGAATTAATAAACGGCCTTTACTCATTGATCTATCTGTTAGCTAAAATCACTAAGCCTGGACAGTTGGACTTGTTCCTTTGCTGCAAGCACCATAAAATTTTTGTCGCAAGAAATAAAGAAACATAAATTAACGTCTGAATGATTACAAAAGGGAAAGATACAATTCATTTGTGGCATTTGGTTGAAAATTGGTGCCATCCCACTCAACCAATTTATTTTTTGTATTTGGTTGAAAATTGGTGCTAATCCTATAATCCACTCAATGTATGACCAGGCCTCCATTTGACAAAGTTGATGCACGACTCAATGATTTACATAGTGCTTCAATGTGCACTGTAGCAGTTTTTGATAATGCTATGTTACTGGGGCTTAGCCAGGAATAGGACTTGAACCAGGTCAAGTTATACACTAGAATCCTATGTTACAAGAAATTATCTAATTTTCTTTGATTATGTGGTGCAACGGTTTCAGTTAATGGTTATTTGAGTTATGTTTGTCATAGCTTAATCATATTTGGCAATCTTAAAGTGCATCATAAAGATACTATAAATTTGGCTGTGGAACCTCTACTGCGTTTGCGCGAATAACCTCCTATTGGTGAAAACTGCACCCTATTAGTACTATCTTCAAGTTCCATCTGTTTTTAATCCTACTTGAATGATAATTGGATTCACTGTACTCACTTGATTTTTACACAATTAGCAGGTCTCTGTCGAGTATGGCTTGTGTGAGATGTTGAACAGGGAAGCAATAAGAGATCAAATTGCTCCTAAAGATGGCAATTTTGGCTTCAACATCCCAGATTGTGAAGGAATGTTACCGGCTGGGACAGTGGATCATACTGTGGAACAAGTGTATAAAGAGGTATGCATTACATCTACTCTATTAGTTTGATTTGTATCCTGACTTTCTGGTTACGTACTGATGCTGGTTTTTTGCTCGAGAAACTATAGTTGCCACAGTGGGAAGAAACAGTTACGGATGCAAGGTCTAGATATGCACAGATTATTAAGGCCCTTGCTGATAAAGTTCCTTCGGAAAACTTGTTGCTTGTGACACATGGTAATGACCTACTCTTTTTCAATTTAGTAACCTTTTGTGGATGTCCAGAGCAAATGAGAATGAAATAATTCCTTTTGTTTTGCACTGCTGCTCATAGATCAAGTCTATGGCATTTGTTTAAAATGCCTAGTTTCTGCTGCTGCTGCTGCTGCTGCTACTTCTGCTTCTGCTTCTGCTTCTTCTGCTTCTGCTTCTGCTTCCTCTGCTCCTCTTCCTCCTCTTTCGCCTTCTCCTTCTCCTTCTCCTTCTCCTTCTCCTTCTCATTCTCATTCTCATTCTAACCATGCTACTACACGAGTTGAAATTATCTTTTACTTGTGCAGGTGAAGGAGTTGGGGTGGCTGTCTCAACATTATTGAAGGACATTACGGTGTATGAAGTAGAATACTGTGCCTATTCGCACTCAAGAAGACCTATCATCTTTGGGGAGAAGCACTCATTTACAGCAGGAGACTTTGAGTTGGTTACACCCAAAGGTCTATCTGGTATCAGCTACTATCCCTTGAGCAATGCAACGGATGATACACTGAACGGGGCAAACACCCATTGATGTTTTCTGCACTCCACCGATTCATTTTGGCACATCTGCCTGCACATTAGACGTTCTTGTTCTTATTTGCCATCGCAAATGATTTTTCTTGTTTAACCCAGTTGACTAGCAGTTGAAATAATCATGAATAATTGTCATATTCTCATAATTCAAAGAAAAGTGTTGCTCCATGAGGGAGTTGTATTTGCTTTACAGCCAGTGTATTTTAGTTGATCCCTAATAAACACAAATCTTAAATTGACCAAAAATATCTTTTATTAACCTAGGCAAAGGCAAATCAAAATTCACTAAATTTATGGTTCTGTTCAGTACTTTCCAATATAGCAGGGTGGAAAAACTCACTTTGGTTGGGAGTTCACCTTCATGAAAAAACTCTCTGTAGCAGCACCTTCATGTAATTTGAAATATTGAAAAATTGGGACTTCACTGCACAGATTTTTACAAAATACGGGGTGTAGGGAAGGTCAGATGTATACAGAATAGCATAGAGATAGCAAGCAAATTTTGGAAAACCCCAACTTGTCATGGAATAAAAATAACAATAACTACCAATTTGAAGCACAGAGTTATAGAAGTTAATAGCTAAATTCTTCCCACACCCTCAGGGAAACAACTTTCTTGGCCACACATCACCACTCTGATGGGCTTGGTAGTGGTTCAACCTGATCAAACATGTCCATCGGGAAGTCATCACTGAAGCTATCAGGTGTTAAAGGGTTCCCATTTTCTCCCACACCACCACCATTTTGAAAATTTTCTGGTCCAAAACTTGGCAACACAGTAGGTATCTGTGCATCACCAAGTTCATAACGATTGAAATGTCCTTCAAACACATCCAAAAAGTCAGGATCCCGGAGTCCACCGACGAGTTCTTGGCTTTCTAGAAAAAGCAAATTGTCTGATTGAAGCTGGGGAATCTGAGGAAAGCAGAGTTGGAATTGTGAGTCACTGCACGGTTTCTTCTCAGTAGTGGTGAATCCAAGTTGAAGCAGATGAAGCGAGTTAGGGTTGAATAGTTCTGGTAATGACACCATTCTGATTGTTGCTGAGTGATCAATGTAGGATGATAAGCAAGATTGTGTTTTAGACAATGATTCTTCCTCCGTTGAAGAACTCAACTTGGGTGTCTGAAATTGTAAAACAACGAGCAAATGCAAAAGAATCAGAAACAAAACCAATGCAGCTTATAATGTTCTGAATATTACCACCACCACCATATCTTCAGCCTTCCTCTGTAATTCCTATGAAGGATCCAAGTTTTCTACCTTATTGGTATGATCCTATCATGATTCTGTGCATGAACTATAATAGGATACATTGCTAATAAATCTGGAGACCATTCACTAAAAATTTAGGAGAAAGTGAGGGTGAAAGTAGGGATGACAACTTTTAACACCACATGTTCCAACGAAACAAACGCGACACGAAATTCGTTGATTTAGCTTGACTAATTCTCAACATGAATTTGAAAATGACACATTCCATTAGCACAAAAAATAAATGCATCAAGTTTGTGTCAAACACGAATAATACAATTTTGATGCAATAAACCTAGTTATTTGGCAGTATATGAAGACAATAGCTGGGTTTTTTTTTTTTCATTTCTGGATATTGTAATCCTCATAGAATGAGATTTTTTTTTACTTGATTTTGTTAGTATATGACTTTTTAGCCTTTGGAGATGTATGGACGACAGAAATGATTGGCATCTTAATCTTGAATTTTATATTTGCGGGCTATTCGTATTTATCCAAAACGACATGAGTAATAAACAGGTGATGTTAATGTCAAGATAGCTATGGTTTGAGTAGTATTTCACATAAATCCGAAATAATACGGAACCAAAGCATCACTCAAGTTACCAACCCTAAGTAAAAGCCAGAGCCATAATGATAAATACCATAGCAAACATCCATAAAATGAGTGATCCTCAAGAAAGGTCAGTTTCTGACAGGATAACACAACCAACCGACAAACTTTATTGAACAGTAAACTGAAAATGACATAGATTAAGCCAATTTTAACTTACCTCCAGAGCAGGAACATCATGAAGAACATGGCTTTCACTGCTGTTTTTCTGGGACTTGGGTGGTGGAGTTTGTGTCTGAAGAATCCTAGCCAACCTCTTTTGCCTACTACTCCAGAAATTCTTCACATCATTATCTGTTCTTCCAGGCAAATATGTAGCAATTCTTGCCCATTTGTTCCCAATTTGCGCCTGCAGTTCTATCACTGTCCTCTCCTCCTCTGCCGAAAACTTCACTCCACTGTTATGAGTGAGAATGAGTGAGAAAGAGAGAGAGATCACAAATTAATCTAATATAGCACACACATGCAATTTTTAAGCAATTTTTAGGCATTCATACATGCAAATGCAGTGGCATGAGATGAAAAAGGCAACATCTGGTAAACGGGTGCCCAACATCAAACACCCCTGAATTCATACAAAATTGACACAGATTTAGTGGGTTTTACACATAGGCATCTTAGCTAAGCATGCCATGAATTTGATCAAATACGGCATGACCAATTGGCTGTCCTACCATCAAATATCAGACAGCACCCACCACCAACACACACACAAAAACACAAACAGATGTGTTGTGTGCATACTGTTTCAAGTTAGGTCTGAGTTTATTAACCCAACGAAGGCGACAAGACTTTCCAGTACGCTGCAAGAGGCCTTTGGATCGAATGGAGCTCCATTCTCTTGGGCCATTCTTGTTCACATGGTTTATCAGCACCTCATCTTCTTCTGCCTTCCATGGCCCTTTCTTTATCTCTCCTCTCTCATCACATACCCTCTTCCCATCCATTTATTCACACTTATATCTCTACCCAGAACTCTTATTATAGAATTCACTCCAAAACCTTCACTACATTCTGTCTGCAACTGTTTTTCTTCCCCTCTCTCTGTCACTCTCTGGTTTGTAGTGACAGTTGAGGACGGTTACTGCCACTATCTGCCCACTAAATAGCCCACATTCCCAAGTTTCTCTCTGGTTCAAAATGTGCTGAAGTTACATAAATGTCCTCTTTTTACTATTTGCTTTTTTTTTAATTTTTAGGATAATTCGATTTCAGGTGTTAAGAATTTAGCAATTAATATCTCAGAGATTATAAATTTGAGTTTTACAACGGACAATTTGAATGGCCCAAATCTACATGATTTTTTAAGTGATTGCATAAGTTTCGGATTTATATAGCAGCCACAAGTCTAAAAAGACTAGTGATGTGGATGGTTCTCGGTTTAAAAAAAAATTAATTTTTATTTAATTGGAATTTGTTAAGATTCGTTTGGTAACGTATACGATTTTTGATTTTCTAAAAAACGAAAAATAGAATCAAAAAATAAAAAACACCTTTTTTCTCGTTTTTTAAAATCATCTCTCGTTTACAAAACAATGAAAGAAAAAAAACGGTTATCAAACGAATTTTTTTTCTTATTTTCTCTAAATATCAAAATAAAAACGAAATACGAAAAACATAAACGTTACCAAACGAGACCTTAATTATTCCACCTTTAATGATATCTAATTCGAAATTTTGGAGCCATTTAACTATTTATAATGGAACTGATTTTGTGAGAATTTAATTTTTATATTTTTGGTTCAATGATAAAAAAAAACCAGCGAAGTGAAAAATGACATTCTAACAATATTTCGTCAATACTAATATTTGGCTATCTAAATATTGAAATAAATAGTTACTAAAATTGTACTACCTTAATCTATTACTATGAATTTACTAAGTTCTTGGCAATGGTAAGTTAAATTTTCGACTCAAACACACAGACATATGGGCATCCATGTACCATAAATGTCTTATTTTCCCTTTTACGTCTCTTCTCCACATCTACAACTAATAAAATTGATAAATTAACAAATTAAAATCCGTTTTATTATATCAAGGGTGAGAAGAGGTTTACAAGCATAAAATGGTACATATAAACACACATGATTGTATTTTTTTTATTTTTGTAAACATATGTTAATATATTTTTGATATATATCAACATGTATATACTACTTTTGAAAAATTGTCATACCACACAATTTTATAAAGATTATAAAACAGTGCCTCGACTTTACATCTCTCTCTCTCTCTCTCTCTCTCTCTCTCCATTATGGATCAAATTTTTATTTCGGTGTATTGTTTCGATTACCTAGAAAACGAAAATTTTTTAACGTATTTCGAAAAAGTTTTAACCCATTTCAGAAACAAAAAAGAAAAAAAATTAAAAATTATTTTTCCAAAATATTGGTCAAAATATACCAAAATATTTTAAAATACCTTAAAACATTCCAAAACAATTATGCAAATGCATTAAAACATTACAAAACATCTCAAAATATTATGAAAAACTTTGAAGCATTAGAATTTCAATTTCATCATTAATTTGTTTCAATCTCCTTGAAAATAAAAATATTTCGAACAATTCAATTATTTTGAAACGAAATTTCAATTCTTGCTCTTCATATCTAAAAACAATTGTTAATTAGAATTTTTAATTTAATTTTTTTCTTATTAATGTGAATATCTTGCACGAGCACTTATGCACCACAAAAGTTATAAAAAAAAAAAAATACAAGCAAAATTGAGAAAAGATCTAAGAATTGTCTCTAATATAAATTAGACCCCAATTCGATCACTTGTGGAACAAAGAGAAACTGATGCATATCCATCCTTAGATGTGTATGTATCATGATACATTAATTTGATATTTACAACCAAATTGAAATAATGTTTGCCAACTAGCCACAGCCTAATAAATTTTCCCCTTCATCTTCTTCATTGCAATGACCATCAGCCTTTCAACTTCATTCATCCACAAATACAGTTTACCATGATGAAGCTTTCCTTGTTTTTCTATTGTGGTAAGCTAAAAGATTACACTGACCACAGTACCGGAACCAAAACTTGGCTCGTAAGGTAAAAGTTTACCCAGCGCCGGCGTCACAATCGCCATTCTCACTACCCACCAGATCAATCAAGCCGCCACCTGAATCACCCATAATACAGTCTGGAGTCTCATCTCCGACACCAGGATCATCTCCACTATGCGATGCATTGATCTTATTCGTACTATGGTTCTCATTTCCAGCCTCTTCATCTTGAACACCCATAATACAGTCTGGAGTCCCATCTCCGATGCCAGGATCATCTCCACTATGTGATGCATTGATCTCATTCGTACTATGGTTCTCATTTCCCGCCTCTTCATCTTGAACAGTTTGTTGCTCGGGCGGATCCTCAGTGGTCTGGCTGCTTTCTGGATCATTTTGGGTGTCTAACTGCATCTGTACCCAGACTGCTAAAGAAACAGCATGATCGCGAATCAAAGAATCATAACGTGGACACTGCAACATTTTAATCAAAGCCTGGTTATACTGAAATAGGCTAACAGATGGCGTACTAGAACCTTTATCACGCAAAAAATTGACAATTTTAAACACATGCTCGCACAGGTTGCCCGTTTCTGCCCATCTGCAATCGCAAAGTGCAAATTCTGAACCTGGATTCCACACAACATGAGCTATATCTCGATCGTGCTGGTCCATAACTTTCGCGCATTTGCCTTCCATGACAACATCAGAGTCTGGAATATTCAACGATTTGCGCCAAGCTGTTAAACCACTCACCCATTCATCCCTCCTGTATCGTGCAAAATCATCCTTCCCTGAATACTCATCAAGCCAAAAGTAGGAATGCACTTTATTACCCAACTTATCTACCAGCCAATCAGCGCGTTGATAAACACTTGGATCCTTTTCATTGAACAACCTGAGCTTCAATTGGTTGTGATAAAACTCCATTGCCGCACAGGTTTCTTGGCTGGCAAGTGGAAGAGTTTTGAGTGCCATAGTCCACATCCCTTCAAAACAGGGAAATAAAAAAGAATGTTACTAAGAAAATACAGTGGGTCCATAGCTGAGAGTTAGGCAACATAGGGTTGGAAAAAAGGTTCAGTGCATTTCAAGCTGTTATAAATTTATAATACCATTTTGTGTGATTTAACTCATAGAATCAACTTGATCTTCTTGCGCACTCAAAATCTTGTTATACTTCAGCTCTTAGAACAGATCATATTCTCCTTCTCCCCCAACATTTTCATTAATAATAATAATAACAAGAATAACAACAACAATAACATTGCTAGCTTTGAAAAGTTAGCATCTAACCTATTCTTGGGAACCAAATCGCCTTGAAGTAATCCATAAAATCTGAGGCATCTACAAAATCTTCCATGAAATCCTCAAACAAATCTGCTGCTCCAAATCCTTTGCAGATGTTATGCACTGCCTGACAAAGACGCTTTGATATCTCTGCACGCATCTCAATTTCTAAGCATCTCTTCATTAAGTTTTTGTGCCATGCATGACGAACCCGCCAAAAGCATATCAATACAGAACACTGAAACACTTCCCTGAGTAAAATGCAGGGAAATATAAATCACTAATTGATGCAAGAAACCCTTGGTGAGAAACATAGTGCATCCTTTAGGCCACATATTCTTGACTGCCCTACACCAATGCAATGATCTGAAATGTTCAAGACCACCTCTTGAACTAGTTGTATGACGTACAACCTAAAAAAGAAAATTGTCCACCATCCAGCCTGACCTTAATACCTGTTCCATGAGCAATGGTATGCCTAGAAATTTGCTTCTTTAAATAATTATAACCAAGCCATTAAAAAACCTTCTGGCCACTAAGAATACAAAGGTTACACACCAACAGGAAGATGCAAAGTGCATCCAGAATCAAACACTATCAGACAGGTAAACGTAATATCAATTGCAAGCAAACATATAAATTGTTCATCACTTCAAATATAGATTACCAAGACCCATCCAGTGATTTTCCCTAGTAGAAATACATGGATATTTTATGACCCAATTGGGTCCATTTGAGTCAGGTATTGACATCCATGGATCCAGACCCCACCCAATCTGTGAAAGAGGGTAAAAAAACCCTACTAATTGAATGCAATAGTAATGGAATAAATACATCAGCTATCAGTACATGACCCTAATAAACCATGACAATACAAATTTTTATGAATGAGAAATGGTGAATCACCTTGAGACTATCTAACAGTGCATTATATGCAAGGATAAAGGACTTAGAAGCTAACCTGATTGAAAGGAGGTCAACCAAAGGATCATCCACTATGAAACCAGCCAACTTCCATGTAGGGTCTTTTGCATTAACTCTATTGTAAAGAGCCCTCATCCATCTACGCATATCACCACTACCAAACCTTGGTGCTATTATCCATGCAACTGGAATAGCCTTGTTGTCTGAGTTGAACACAACAAGACTGTGAATGGGATACTGGATAAATTTGCAGAAACAGCAAGGTAAGATTTTAAGGAATTTAAAACATATCATGAACTATATATATAGAAAACTAGAACACAAACTGAAAAACAGACCTTCAATTTATTTGTTCCAAACCTTGAATCTGAAGCCAGCAGACTGCGGTTGCCAAACCGAATCATTTGTTGCAACTGCCACTCTGTTTGAATCCCCAAGTAAAAAGGCTCCGAATCAGAGAAATCCTCAAAGAAGAAAACATGACTCTGGTGGCTTTCAACCCACACACTGATGCTGACTGCATCATCTGGGTCCAGTTCATATGTAGAACGGCGGATGCTTCTTTCTTGTCTCCGGACGTACCTGTGGGTTAGCAGGTCATCCCGGTTGGATGGACCTCCCTGTTTCTCCACCGACTCATTGTGTCTCTGCATTATGGTTTCCACCGAGACCCCAACATGTAGTAGAGATAAGACACGGAGACGGAGATCCTCCGAGATGTATGGAGCATACATAGCTCGTGTTCCTGCAGCCATCTTGTCCTGTGGGCCATGGCACGGCAACCCCTTCTTATCTACATGCTTATCCTGGTTATATATGATAAGTGCTACTGATGGCTCAGCAATTAAGCGTTTCACAATAAAGTGGCAGGTGCACCCTCTCTTTGTGTTTGGCCGACCAGCAGATTTCTTCTTTGGCACATATGTAGTCCTACTAGGTCGAACGATACCTCCTTTCCTATGGTCATCTGGACCAAAGGAGCACCAATACCTACAGATCCAATGAAATCACCTAAATATTCATTTGTGGGAACTCAAAAATAAGGAAGATAAGGTCACTTCAAACTTGAAGAATGCAATACCAGCTACATGGAGTTTTAAAAATAAGGCTTACAAGATGTATTCAAGAATGCCATCGACTTTAGGCTTGTAAGCCATCTCTGGAGGCCGCCTCCTCCTTGCTTCAACATGGAATCTCGTTGGGCAGTCTTTGTTGGCGGATTCCCCCCTCACAAAATCATCCACTCTTGCAAAAGGAATCAGAGCAAGTCTATCTATATTGTCACGCCAACCTTCCACTCTGGACCATACAAGATCAGCAGAGGAAAATTCTAAGGTTGGAGGGTTCTGTACAGGGAGGGACAGAATCTCATCCCATCTTGCCATCTGCAACCAAAACACATGTAAGGACACATAATAACTCATGAATTGAGATTCTAATCAGCCTTCCCACTTCTTTGGTGGCATTCCGAATTCTAATCAAATTGTAAAGTTGGTTTGGCAAGAGCATTTTCATAAATTGTAATCCTGAATAATAGATATGGTATCATGTAAATGTTAGTGGTATTAGGCACCACCAGTTGAGATATTCTATCATGATGTTTTGATGGCTTTCCTACATATCTATACTATTAATTAATGTAATTAGATTGCATTAAGGGGTACGGTACATACGTCCTCCCTATCTAGGTGTAATTTAAATTTTTCACATCAATAAATCTCCTCGCACCGTCAAGGTTTGCCAAAAAAAAATAAATAAATAAATAGAGAGAGAGAGAGTGGCTTTGGTGTTCTCTCCCTTTATCCATAATTACGAATAGCTAATTACAAATTTATTATTAATATCCCAATTTTTTTGTATAACCACCTTGACTTTCCCCGTAACACATTTAACCACCTACAACTTAGTACATTGATCTATTTTAATCATTCCCACTTCCATACCTTTCTCCTTCTTCCTATCTATACACAGGTACCGTGTGTGCACAACCCCTACAGAGTGTGTGTGTGTGTGTACCAAGTTCAAGTTTGGCCTTGCAAACTCCAAATAAACCATAAGTACATAATTTTTTGGTCTGGAATCTGGATGCCACAAGGGTAGATCCTGAAATCACAATAATGGGATAACCGTATGTTCATCCAAACTATAACTTTAGACTCATCAGTGATTCTAAAAATTATTTCTGTACAAAGGAAAACACAAACACACATTTGGAGTGCTCAAAGATTATGCATTTTGATAACTTAGTTTCTTCTCAAGCACTCCAACTGATTCAGAACTGAATACCCAATTTTGAGCTGTGCCGGTTTTCATACAAAATTCGAATCTAGATCCTGAACAACTCAATGTCTTTCACATCCACAACAAGGGAGGAGCCTTCCCAGATGACCAATAGAGGTCCCAGATGACCAATAGAGGTTGGACAGACTCCCCACTACGTGTCCATTAGACCCTTCGACCGCTTAGAAATTGATTTGAACTACTAACACAACGATTTTCCGGTCTTTCGCTCTAATCAGCTGAGCTTTAGTCTCTTCCTATGAATTAGTGAATAAGGAAGGACAGACCAGCCTTCATAAATTTAATCGAAAATACGAAATACTCGAAACAAATTAAAAACGAGTATTTCCTTCCTACTTTCTACTCTTTTTTTTCTTGACAACCAAACACAGAAAAGAGAATAAGTAAATTAAAAACGAGAGACATTTCAAACTCGTAAAGATTTTCTTACCTCTAATTGGAGTGGCCCAGACCGAGTCTGTTGATTGAAGAGTTTCAGAGAAAGAGAGAGACCTACTAGCAGAGAGAGATGGGGAGAGCCAACTAAAGGAGCTTATGAGGGGTTACTGGTCCCTTTGCCTTGCCGTAGGAAGGGTTTAAGCCACAAAGTGAGAGATGTCTCGTGTGCATCTTCTGGTTGCACGTGACATCAAAACCGTAGTCTGGGTTTTAAGTTCTTGGTCCCAAAGTCTCTCCCTCTCTCTCGGTGGGTTGGGGATTCTTGCGCAGAGTGTGTGCGTGTATGTTCTACAGAGGGTTTGGGGGAAGGGAGGGTGTAAATATTAAATACATCGGTGATACCACTCACCCCCACCTCTTGTGTGGTGTCACTATCTAATTAAAAGATTAATAATAAATAAAATAAATCTCATTATTTTTATATTTATTAATATCCACTATATCTAATCAATAATACATAGGATTAATATAATTTATTTTATTTATTTATTATTTTTTAATTAAATAGTGACATCATATGACGGTGATGATATAATGTCACCATTTCAATGAATATTTTTCAAAGGGAGGAAAGAAAAGGGGATACCGTGTCTATGTGTGTATTAGCAGAGAAAGGGGAGAGGAGAAATACGTGAAGAGCAATGCTATGCTGTTACCCAAATTTTGTATCACAAATCAATGTTAATGGTTGAATTAGCAGGGTTCACTAACTCCACTAAATGTTCAATGTGTAGAATTTTAACTTATGACTTGAAATATACGATTTGGTAAAAGATTTGTATAGCGCAATTTTATCCATACTAGAAAAGAGGAAACGTTGTGGATTAGGTGGAGACGGTGGTGGCGTTGTGACTTTGGCGAGTAGGTAACGGAAACTCCACTTGAATAATTATTGGTACCTAAAAAAAAAGGGTAGTTATTTGTTTATGGTTATTAATTTTTATAGGGTTTATTTATTTATTTGTTTTGATATTATTAGTTAGTGATATCACGTCAACATTGTGGCATGATATCACTATTATAATGAATATTATTGGGTATAAAACAATGACACCGTGTCATTAATATTTTGTAGTGAAGTGGTAGGTTTTCGGATTAAACGGATTTAGATCAGATGTTTTTGGCTAAGTAAAAAAAAATGTGTGAAACAAAAGAGAATGCCTAGAGACTATCTCGATAGGACTTCACTGGTGAGATCATAAGACCTCTGACTGCACTTGTTACTTCTTTCGAAAATGAACCTAGTTAGGCTAGATAGGAAAATGCTACATAATCCAATTGCAACCGAAAAGTTGTAAGTCAAAGACATATCATTCTTTGAATAAGTGTTGGATAAATGGATCCCACTAAAAAAATAGATAGGATCCACTCATCTAAGGAATGATATGCATTTGAGTTATAACTTTTTGGGTTGTGTTGTATAGCATTACTCTTAACGGTATAGATACAAAATTAGAGAGTTTAAGTCTTTCTTAAGTTACTCGTTTAATAAACGAGTAAACCTAACCCGACAAGACACATTTAATAAACGAACAAGGCATGAGTGAAGTCAATCAGAAGAAATACACGACTCGTTTATATACTAATTATACATGGTTCATACACAACATGAATATAATATAAACACGATTCGTTAGATACAAATTAATAAATGAATCGGATATGAATAAAGTATTTCTTGACATGAAATCACTAAGACTCGAAAACAACCCCACCTTACCCAACGATAGATCTACTTAACGGATTCGTGTGAAAAAATATTTAATCCGTCCACGATTTATTTAATTAATGCTAAGAATCTTACAAACCATTTAATAAATAAACTGTGCTAGATATAATTGGATTAACACGATTAACCTTTTAACTCGCCAGCTCTGGACTCATTTATCATTAAAAGTTATGTATAACTAACTAATAAACATTGCAGATAATAGTTGACATACTGACACAAAATATTACATTTAGTGATGTCAACCCACATTAAAAAAGCATTTAAAGCTACAAGAATGAATTCATCAAAAAACTAAAATTAACTGATTTAATTATTAAAATGGATAAATTATTTTGACTAAATAAATAAAAATAATTATTAATTTATTATTATACTAATTTTATTTAAACCAGTGATAAACAGATTATATATCTCACTTGAACACGATCCATGTATTAAACGAGTTTAATAAATTCACCCGTTTTCTAATCGCACCTATTAAAGTCTCACTCAAACCCACTTAATTATGTGACGGTTAATCATTTTGTGTTACAGTGACAGGATGGGATGGGTACAACTTTACAACTGTGATTAACCAATAACCAATAGATTGAATGAAATGTAATTAGATTAATCTCAATCTCTCTTGTGGCAAGCTAAGAACATCTATAAGAGAGTAGCTAAAATACACAAAAATTTCAAAATTTAGCTATTAAAATTTCACTTCAATAGCACATCTCCAGAGTATCTAAAATAATATTTTGTTACAATGACACTCTATATTTAGAATTATTTTGCTACAATGACACTCTATATTTAGATAGAGTGTCACTGTAACAACATGTATAAATATTTTATAATTTTTTTTCTCTCTTGCTTTTCTTTTCTCCATTCTCTGTCTCTCACTCTCTCACTATTCCCACAGAAAAATAATACAAAAGGAATGAAAAATAATATTTTAAAAAATAGTTAAAAAAATAAAAAATTTGTTGAATTGTGTTTTAAAAAAGTTAGTAACTAAAATAAAAAAATATTATTTTTTGAGTAATTAAATTAACTTTTGTTGTTGGAAATACTTTCTAAGTTAAGAATTCAAAATGTTTGAGGAATTTCCTACAATTTTCTTTCCCCTCTGTTTTTAAGCAAAAGGGATTGGAGGGGGTGATTTAGATGAGTTGCCCTGTTGGAATCATCAGACTGGTAAGAACCTACCAGCTTGCTTTTATCTTCCAAATCTGTGAGAGCTTCTCACTGCTTGAATAGGAAAAAACTCCAAACACAAAAAAAAAAAAATAACAATTTGTGTTTTGTATCTCCTCCCCATCATTCGGATTTATTTGTTGAAAATGGATCTTTGGTCCAATGGTACTATTTACCTTGTGAAAGTTTTATTTTCTTGAGGTCAAGAGTTTAAGTCTCCTTTCCCTCCCAAAAAACAGAAAAAAAAGCTATACAGATGTGCACTTTCAAATTCATGTGATCGAAATGTATATATACACAGAGTATAAAACATTAGTTTTTATTTGTTGAAAATGGATTTCACGGAGTGAAAAATAGAAAGAGTAAATATCTATCCCTTGGTCAAAAAATTTGAAGGCTACAGATTTACAATGCTCTTTATATAACAGAACTTCTATTCATCTTGTGCCCTTCGAGGTACCNATAACCAATAGATTGAATGAAATGTAATTAGATTAATCTCAATCTCTCTTGTGGCAAGCTAAGAACATCTATAAGAGAGTAGCTAAAATACACAAAAATTTCAAAATTTAGCTATTAAAATTTCACTTCAATAGCACATCTCCAGAGTATCTAAAATAATATTTTGTTACAATGACACTCTATATTTAGAATTATTTTGCTACAATGACACTCTATATTTAGATAGAGTGTCACTGTAACAACATGTATAAATATTTTATAATTTTTTTTCTCTCTTGCTTTTCTTTTCTCCATTCTCTGTCTCTCACTCTCTCACTATTCCCACAGAAAAATAATACAAAAGGAATGAAAAATAATATTTTAAAAAATAGTTAAAAAAATAAAAAATTTGTTGAATTGTGTTTTAAAAAAGTTAGTAACTAAAATAAAAAAATATTATTTTTTGAGTAATTAAATTAACTTTTGTTGTTGGAAATACTTTCTAAGTTAAGAATTCAAAATGTTTGAGGAATTTCCTACAATTTTCTTTCCCCTCTGTTTTTAAGCAAAAGGGATTGGAGGGGGTGATTTAGATGAGTTGCCCTGTTGGAATCATCAGACTGGTAAGAACCTACCAGCTTGCTTTTATCTTCCAAATCTGTGAGAGCTTCTCACTGCTTGAATAGGAAAAAACTCCAAACACAAAAAAAAAAAAATAACAATTTGTGTTTTGTATCTCCTCCCCATCATTCGGATTTATTTGTTGAAAATGGATCTTTGGTCCAATGGTACTATTTACCTTGTGAAAGTTTTATTTTCTTGAGGTCAAGAGTTTAAGTCTCCTTTCCCTCCCAAAAAACAGAAAAAAAAGCTATACAGATGTGCACTTTCAAATTCATGTGATCGAAATGTATATATACACAGAGTATAAAACATTAGTTTTTATTTGTTGAAAATGGATTTCACGGAGTGAAAAATAGAAAGAGTAAATATCTATCCCTTGGTCAAAAAATTTGAAGGCTACAGATTTACAATGCTCTTTATATAACAGAACTTCTATTCATCTTGTGCCCTTCGAGGTACCTACCCCAAGTCCAGTCCTTATACCAGCACCCACTTCTTTCATGTCTTCCACCTGCATAAAAAAATTGCCACCAGTGAGTTTATTACCCTGAAAAATGCCATCCCATAAAGACACCCATGCTCCCTTTGCCATCCAATAAATACAAAGAAATGCAGTGTGTGTGGAATTATATTTCTATGCTAGGTGACATCAAACTTCTAAATTTAGGTCCACACTGAAACACCAACACCCTACCAAATACCCTTCGACACACACTTTCCATCATCACCATTCATTCTTCCGGTTTCTCTTCTCCTTCTTCTATCTCCTTGAAAACCGACCTGATCATTCATCACAACTGCTTTACTGCTGGTTGGTATCCTAAGGTGTTGAGTCATGATGCTTTGCTGGTGAGTGTTTGGAGGATTCTGGCAAAGATTTTGTGATGGCAATGCTTAGTTGAGTTGTGCAATAGTTGAGTTGTGATAATAGAGGTTTGTATCATCACCTATGATTGACGTCCAAATATGGCAGGACCAACTATTAAAGTGATTTTATACCTTTCTTGGCTCTTTGGCTAAGCAAGTATTGTATCTATTCTTATCAATTTAATATTTGGTACAAAGACATTGTCTGACACTAGTAAAATAATTTTTTGGGGGAAGCTTGCTATTTGCTCAAGTGTCAACCTTCCGTTGAACTCAATGCAAGAGTGCCCATGTCATTATTTGAACTTTCAAGTTGCTGTGGAATCAAAATTGTACAATTTGGCAATAGCGCAAACAAGAAGATAACTAATGCTATACAGCTATAGAAAGGGGAAGAAAGGAACTAGAATTCATAACCTTTAGATTGAAAAAATATCATTTTAAACCTAATAAATTGTGGAAATCTTAGTTCAAAGACTGCTAGAGCTTAAGGGTGATAAACAAAGAGATGGTGTCAAATGGAAGCATGGAAGGCTTAAGATTTTGTTACTGAGTGAAGACCAACAAATAGGCGTTGTGCTTTTTTTTTTTTTTTTTTGCAGAGCAAGAAGGTTCAGGAAGGAAAGGAGTTGATTAAGATTACTGAAACTTCACCTCCAAATCAAACATGAAAGGGGGAAATTTTGCCCTTGATTCTATTCCTTTCCACCCAAATCTACTCTGGCCAAACACGACACAACCTGATTATTGTACTTTGAAATAAAAAGTATACAGTCAGTTTGCTTGAAAGCACAGGTAAATGATCTCCAATAATCCATTCTTAAAACATGTCAATGACACCACCAGTCTATGGAGGGGGGAAACCCATAAAATAGCCAACATAAACAACTGATTTAACGCTAACAAAAATTCAACCCCTCACACCCATGATGTGATATTAGTCTGGTGGCTGATTCTTAGTAGCCAACCATTACTATTAGACCAAAAGCACAGGCTGATTAGTTCAGAGCAAGTTCTGAACATGGTTTCTAAACCCATTAAAACCCAAATGATTTCTGTAAGGCACAAATTAAACAATGTAATAACTCTCCAAACTACTCAAAACACTAGTTCTACTTCAAAACACTAAATTAAACAATCTTTATTCTACTTCAATTTTTATCAGATATGTTAGAAAGAAACAGCATCAGAGCATTAATTGTATGCGTACACCCTAGGCAAAAACCCAAAAACCAAAAATATTTACACCCTAGGCGCAGATTAGAAGCTTAAAGAGAATGAGAGATAAATACTCTTATCATGATGATGACGACGACGACGACGACAATGATGATATTAGGTCTTATACATGTAAGATCCACCATCAATTTAACAGTTATAATAGATTTTGATAGTAAATTTGATAAATAAATATAGTCCCAATAGCATTGTCAAACACAGGACTTAATTGTATGAAAGCTATCAATCCCCTCTTCTTCCATATTGATTCTCCCTCTCGCATTTGTCATGATGCGCCCATGCGAAAACTTGAGCCCAAAGGGGCAAGGCAATAACATCTTGATCGAAAGCTCCACTATTCTGAATAACGAGAAAGACTTTTTGAAATTTGGTCAAATCGATCGCTCATCACCTGTTAGGTGGGCCAACCGATCGACCGAGTTGAGTTGGGGGCTGGGCGTCATGGGCATCCATGTCACAGAACCTCTAGCCCTCACTCCATATAATTCCTCTACATAATATTTCTTTCCCTGTCGCGAAATTTAACAGAAAGCCTTGCCAAAACCTGTGACAATACTAAGATACACTACACCAAGCACATCAGTGTTAGGTGCAAAAGCAGCACAGTAAAAGTGAGCAAATACACAAAACCAATTTATCGAAATCATCCCTTAAACACTTATGTATCAAATTTTGAAACGATGAGGTTCCATGTTGTAAAAGTCTTAAGGTAATCAACATGTAAAATCTATATACATTTGTGTCTCCCCCATTTCAATACACACTCACTTTCCACTGAGTTAAATTGCTTGGGTAAAAAGCAAGCGGATCATGCATCTTTGTACACCTCCACTTGAAGTCACGTAGTTGAGGCATATGCATCAACTAATGACTTCCCTTATCGCGTGCCACAATACAAGTGTGATTTTTTTTCAAAACATTCTGAAAGTGTAGTTGAAATATACCAAAATATTTAGAAAACACTTTGAAACAATCCGAAATAATGGTGAAAACATCTCGAAACATTCTAAAACACTTTGAAGCATTGGAATTTACATTTCCTAAAGTTATTTGGGGAGGTAATAAAGCACGTGGCAGAATGTACCTCGGTAGTAGGGATATCATATGCCCTGACTTAAGACCCTTGAAACAAAGACAAGCGACCGACACTAAGAGGCATGCAACTCAACAATAGATCAATGACAAAGACCAGCCTACCAGCTCTTTATCCATGCTGATGATCCTATATTTCTTTAGAGTCGACCTGCTCGTGACACAGTCGACCACCAAGATATATGTCTTCCAATTGCTAGGTTGATATCGAGTTGAGCTACCATATGGGCCATCAATATGGCCAAACACCCTCACATAGAACCAATACTCCCATGGATGCTAGGGAATGGGTGGCAAATAATCCTCATATGGCCAATACTTATTGTGATGAGGTCTTTTAAGGAAATCCATGAACTTAGATTTGCAAGATCAGTTCTGACAAGGAAGTCCCGAAAGAGTAGCTACTCAAGCTTGCTATACCGAGATCCAAGGAGAGGAGTTGAGCAATCTCTACTGAAGCTGCAGCTACAGCACAGATTATAGATAATTTATCAAGGGAACCTTAATTCTTGAGAGGCTACTGCCACAAAGGAACTGCCTTAGACATGTGGACTCTACAATTAGGAAACAAGGTGGGCATGGATAACAAAAGAAGTGCATGGTGTACCACAAAGAATTTACCACCAACTTCCTAAACATTCTCCTACTAATTCCTTAATTATTCTCCTCCAAATTCGCTACACAGTACACAGTCTCTATAAATATGGGCGAGGCTCAAATGTTTAAGTGCGCTACTGATACAAACTTTCACTCTTCCAAAATCTTCACTGATTATCATACTGGGGGACCTTCGACCAACCCACCACCAGCCCTTGGTTGTTTATTTGGTTTGCAGGTTTCCAAAGAATCAATGAACAACTCATCATCCAACCTCATCCAGTTTTGTACAGAGTCACAACCAAGAAAAGAGCACATGCAAGTTCTTTTGTCTAACAGCAAAAGAAGAAAAACACAAGTAATAAACCTAGGTAAAATAGCTTTTGTCAAATGGGTGCAGCTCTCTAATGGTTCCTCAGTTACTAGGTTGAGGTGCTTAATTTCTGCCCCCATAATGTTTTGTACTAAAGTAAAATAGCTAGGTGGATGGCTTATTATAGTACATTAACACCCTCCATCTTTATTAAACTCCAGTGTTTTTTCTACCTCAAGAATTTTGCAAATTTCAAAAATATTCTTAATGCATAAACAGAGAGAAAAGAAATATAATATGAATAAGGGTAAAAGCCATATTACATGTTATTTTATTGCACATTTTGATTTTTGATGCTTGATCATCGGTTCTAATGGAAGTTCTAACAGTGATACTTTAGTCCAAAACTATAAGGATTTTTTTATTTTTTTTTAACTTAAAATTGTAAGGAGATGAGGTGTAGGTTTTCAAACAGTGGAGATACGACATGTTAAGGGCCTAAACTATAGGAAGGTAACATGCAATATGCTCCTAAAGAAAAAAAAAAGTTATCAAAAGAATATTAGAATGTTGAGCAAACATGTGCACGTGTGAGAATACACATGTTTGAATGGTCAATGTAAGGCAAAACTTAACTTTGAGAAAAAAGCTGCAAGGATACCAAACCTCCATTGGTCAGCATCAGCGATCTCCATCATCCAAGTCTACGGAGATATTGATTCCCACGCACAAAAAATTCCATCTTGTGTTTGACAAGTTGGAGAGTGGGAACAACAAAGGCTTAATCTCGTTTCCCTAACAAAGTCTAGAGGAAAATTCACATCTTAGATGATACAAAAATACTTCAATAATTTTCGAGGAGAACATTCTTCCATCTACGAGAGACATGAAATGCAATAAGGGAGCGAAATTGAAAATACCATGACATTATATGTGATTATAAGGTTGCATCTGATAAATTAGTAATATTAGAGCCCTAAATAAAACTTACAGAGATCAGACTCATAGCCTCTACTCTCATTATGCTTTGGCAACATCCCACAGTAGGTATACATCTGCAAAATCAAAAGGTTATAACATCCAATGTCGTGTTAATTAGTAGATGCAGTTACAAAGACAGTTGAGGGGCAGAGTAACCATGATACAAGCAGCAAACTCCAAATCAAGAATATGCCATAAGCGCGCTTATCACAAATCTGAATAGAAGTCAAATTCCTTGAGAGCTCACATAAATGGATTTAAACTAGAACGATTGATGGCTCTCAGTATTCATAGGCTAATAGCCGGTCATTCAATATTTTCTATCAAGGGGACAAAATTTTCATAATAATTCATGCATCAGACATTGATACTCTAAAAATTTGTAAGACACTGTATCCAAAACAACAATTAGCTTAAAACTATTGGTAAGAGGTCCAAGAAATATAATTTTGCTCTAACGTCCCAGTCCAGCCTGGCTTGAATCCTTGAAGAATATATTCTGATTCCTGAACACCGCCTAAAATGGGAAGTATATTGCCAGTAGCTGCCTAGTCTATTTCGGCCAGGATCCCAACGTGGGGAGGAGAGACACTAAGCTCTAAGTGATACTTGAATGCAGGACAGGATGGTTCCATTACCATTAGTCCATCTTTGTTATCATGGATGCTTAGTCAGTGGCTTTAAATGCCACATCCTACGTTTGACCTTCTAAACAAATGCATAAGCTAAGACAACTAGAACTTTATTTATACTTTCCCTGTATCCAATACATTAGTGCAGCAATTAAGGCAATATCTTAATTGCCATAATCCAAAATGATGTAAATAAACATCAAAGCTAATATCTGGATCAATTAAGAAAGAGAATGTGATTATCTGTAATTCATTTCAAGAAACGAATCATAGGTTCAAACAAACGAGAAAATATTATAGATCTATTTATATTGTAACAGAAATAAAATGCAACCAACTGGTGTTCGGTGATCCAGAATTGAGACAGAAACGACCGTGTGTTCGATTATGGATTAGGAGTCCAGAGATGTCGGACCATGAATTAATAGTTCCGGAGTGTGTGGGTAGGTGTTCTGGAGATTATTAGGGTGTTAATTGAGGGTAAGAGTGTGACTGGCGGCTCGACTCAAAACATACACCCAAGGTGGTTAAGTTGTAGTAATAATCTGGTGAAGTTCAAGATCGTATCCACAGAAAATTTGGTTATTGGGATTAAAGATCATAAGAAAAAGAATTCTATATCTTTTTACCCTTGGACTACAATCAGGGTCATAAGATGAGCCAAGCTAATCAAGCTTGATTCAACAACTTGTTCGGAGATCGTTCACCCAAAAATGAGAAGTTCAATCATGTTTTGAAGTTCATCCATTCCAAAGATATAAGACCATCTTGACTACATAAGTTCAGGAGCAGCTTAATACAGTATAACAAGCCAAAATACTAGAGATCAATATATAATAAGTGAAAGGTAGCTCATGGAAGAAAGGGCCAAGTTCAATCTCCATTTCAGAGCTAGTTGGTTTAATTTACATCCTAAAATTTGCAGTCCTAATATACTAAACTTCTCTTCTTTCCATATAAGGCAGTTGTGATAAACATAGCGACAACATTTTGGTAATTGTAACTTGGAAATCTCCCTTCTTCTAGTTTCCCTTCTTTCCCATTTTATGTCTCGAGCGAAGAAGACAAGAAGGCATTGGTCCAACTCAAATCCTGGCTGGCGTCTTAATTGATTTACAAGGTTCTTTGAACATTTAAAATGTGCCAATGAGAAGTTGTAGAGTGGTTGGGACTTGGTCAGAGCATTTTAGTAACATATTAATGACAAATAAACCTTCATTATCTAGTCCAAAAATATATTTAATGAAATCCACACTTACTTTCCAACTCTCGAGCCAATACTTACTCCCAAAACAAAAGCATTAAATGCCTTGTTATACAGATGTAAATGAGTTGGTTAATAAAGATTCCCACGACCATTGAATAGTTCCCTTGAGTATAACATCACGTTTACGAAGCAACTACCATCAAAACCTTTACGGGAGGTGGTTATTGTCATATAAATATATCAAAGAAGCAGAAAAAGTGCCGGGAAAAAACCAAGAAAACATTACTTACCATAATAGTTGCAGTGGTTCCTGATTTCTTTAGTGACCCCTTACTGGAAGATGGTTTTTTAGCTTCAATTGCAACCTGTTCATTGTGCAATTCCTCTGCTCTTGGGTGCAATACTTGAACCTCTCTTCTTCCATTAAAGGAAAATCCAAGACGAGAAGAAGAATCTGAGGAGGAACGTTTTGGCATATTAGATATCAGAGAATATGCGCATCAGCCAGAAAACCAAGTAAATTCGGGAGTTCTGCCATAGCGCAAAGCTTTGCTTTGCTTTAGCATCCGGTAATGAACTATAGCATATGCCATAACCATGAGCACAATCAATTATTTTGTTCTCATATAAAAAGAAATAAAAAAGAAAGAAAAACACAACTTCTTTCTTATAAGACAAGCAAACATTAGGCATGGACAAGGTAACTATGAAACCAAATCATAAAAGCATTACATAATCTGTACTAAGATTGAAACAAGTAATTTGGCTGTTTTCATAAAGACAAAAAGCAAAAGGTTAAAAGTACTCAAATGAGTATATAGAAACTATTATAGCACTTTGTTTTGGTATCTACTCCTATTTTAAAAGAAAAAACTCTGCACGTTCCACTCCCAAAAACCCATCAACCCATTCTAGGGACAGTATTAAGGAATGTAATTGATTGTTACATTGGCCATAGTACTTTTAGTTGTATTTTAACCAAAACCCAACTTGAACTGGCTTGAGGCTTTAAAGAATACATTTGGACCCACACTAAGATGGGCAGACTATTGAATTATTGCCAATGGTGCCTAGCCACAAATTTTACCTTTTTTGCTTGCATTTGCTTATACATTAGCTCTGAACTTTCTTACCATTCAACTTTATGTTAATGCAGCAATTAAGAAGACCCAAACACCATATTTAGAGGTGATCTAAATTGGTAACAAAGCTGTCACATAGATGAATCATACAAGGAGATTTTCTATACCCGTGGAGTATTATGGGCTTGTAAGACGGGCTAAGCTACTTAAGCTTGGCTTGATTAGAAACTTGCTGAAAACCGTTCACACAAACATAAATTGCTCAATTACTTTTAGATTCATTAATTTCCTGAAATTCGTCCTGATAAAACATGCTGAAAAAATAATCTGCTTGAGCTTAAAATTAGATTGGCTCATATAGAAGTCTTCCCAAAAGATGGAAGAGCCCATATCAATCTTCACTCAAGAGCCTTAGTTTATCTGGAAATCCTAATATTTATATATTTAATTGTTCATTTATCTTTTAGATTACTATCTAATAGACTAATCAAGGAAGCGCTGCAGCAGTATACATATAAAACACTGCACCAAGTTGCCTAGTTCAGAAATCAATTTGAATTCAGTGCTTTCCCAAAAAGGTAATTGACATAGACAATTGGTGGCATTCTATAAACTAGGACACATCAAAAAGTCCCCCCCCTCCCGGCTCTCTTTTTATCTATTTGAAGGAAGAAGGTGAAGGAGTTGGGACAATGTAGCCAAGGATTAAAATTTCGTTTCGGTGCATTATTTCAGTCACTTAGGAAATTGAATCGTTTCGACCTGTTTCGGAAACATAGTGAAAACGAATAAAAAACTTGAGAATTATTTTTCTGAAACATTAGTTGAAATATACCAAAACTTCTTAAAATACCTTAAAACATTCTGAAACAATTATGTAAATGTATCAAATCATTACGAAACACTTTGAAACATTTCGAAGTACTAGAATTTCAATTCCATTATTGATTTGTTTCAATCTCCTTGAAAACGAAAATGTATCTTATGTTTCGAAATGAAATATTAATCCTTGAATGTAGGGACCACTAAACAGAATAACAGATAGGATAGTTGTTCATGAGTCCTATATTCTTCTAATAATTCAAAATCTCATACTAGTGGCAAAGAATGCACATCTAGGTAATCCAAGGAGTTGGAATAAGGGCTTGCTTAGAAGAAAATATGGTGAAAGGTATGGTACCAAAGATGGCAACATGAGGAACACAGGTGAAGGAAAGATGTAAATATTGGCATTCAAAACCATGAATATCAAATCGCGAGGGAATCACAATAACTCTCAAAGTTTTCAATATAAAAAATAAAACACCTATCATGGAAGTGGTTTTAGATTATTAGCAGGACGTAAAGCCGGATTTTTATATCGATCTTTCCTCTTTGGTATCAACTACACAATCATTGGTTCTATGAAGACTCATACCTAAGGGCAAGTCCATCAAAATTATGCCCAGATACAAGTAAAGAACAAAGTGTTGGAACATAAATCCCAAGAGCCGTTTACGGTGCATATGTATCGAATATCAAAAATTTTCCTTTAATATCCTATAAAGCAGAATTAGGGTTTACCTTCGAGATCCCTCAAAATTGATCTCATCTCAATACGAACGCAAAACAAAATCAACAAGTAACCGAATAACAGCTCGACTAATCTCGCGGCCTTCTGTTGTATATCCCCAAACGTCAAAATCCGGATGCAGTATGGACCGCCAAGACCTCTGAATCTTTGCTCTCTCTTTCAACCTCTCTCAAAAACGTGAGTAAAGAATAGATGTTGAATAATAGAGCCTAGACATCCATATATAGGTTACGACAGAGACCCTAAGGAGAAATAAGGACCGAGCTTTCAATAGGTTTAGGAATCCAATGTTTAACCCAGAACAAACATCCTACAGCCAATTAATAATAAGTCAGTCCACTAAAGACTTATTATTGATCTCTTGACTCTTATCTCAAAATTATATTTGAACTCCTTATTATTATATGCTTAATAATTTTTTCACGTTTAAAATTACAAATGTTCATCAATTAAATAAATTACTGAAAATTATATTAATTAATTTCTTTTATTCGTTGAGACCTTATCACTCAACTTATTTTTCATGTTGGATAATTAAATCCACATGTAGGGTTTGACAGGGACAAAACTTATAAGCTTCCTCAAGAGGATATCATCAACCCATTTAAATACTAGGACATTATTTCCTTTAATATTTAATTTCCACCATACAAATAACATCATCTTTCAATTTACCGAGTTTATTGACTCAATATGAATCTCACTCTTTGATGAATTAAAGTGACACACATTATATGCACGTGACAATTAAATATTTTAGAATTAAGAGCATAAACAATCATAACAATCATAAGGTATTTATTATCTTATTGAATCAGTAAAAGATAAAAACTTCAATATGGGTCTGTTTAACACACAAAGTGTACTAGTGCAAAAATCTGAGACATCAAACAGTCTCCTACAGTCAAGACAGACTATGCCAAAATATTACACTACAATAATACCAATGGTGTGTCCAATTTCATCTAGAATTGTGAACGTATACTCATAGTATACAAAGATCTCATAATCTGGTCTTCTGTGTATAAGTCAAGCTCTACACACCAGATTATCTATAATGTAAAATATAAGACACATATACATATCATAAATTAAATATAATGCAAATATTTTGTCCATAAAGATTCTCAATAAAATGGAAAGAACAAAATTTTATTAATTAATAAAACGAGTTTCACTACAAAAAGCAAACTTTTAGTATACTACTCTATCACAAAGAAGTTTGGTGAAAAATGGGGAGCACCGGAAAAGAGGCTTCCTGAATTATTTTCCATTACCACTCATAGAAAGGCCGTTGTAACAGATTTGGAGACCTGGTTTTAAGGGGCATTAATGTGGACTCCCAAGGGCTGTATAGCTTCACAGGACTGAAAATGGGTTTGGTGGACTAGCTTTGTGGCTTCCATTTAAGTGGAGTACGGAAGTGTGTATTCAAGTAAAGAAGTATAAGAATGCCTTTCCTTCAATTTGAACTCTTTCTACTTTCATCTTGTGGAGGAGGAACACTCACACTCTCTCTATTCTAGAGAGCTATTTGGCACAAGAAAGCTCTAAAAATGGTGGCTTTTTTGTCGGACAATAGCTTAGGAAGCTATTTTGATTGTGATAGTTCAAGATAGAAGAGTTCTTGTTAGATTGTGCTATGCATGTAAGGAAGCAAGAGGAGACTTACTTCACCGTGGACTTCCTAGAAATATGTGGTGCATGCCATTAACCAAATGCAGCATCTCTTGAGTGATGTCTGGATTCATTAAAGCTTCCTTGATGGTTCGATGTGGTGTATATGAATATAAGAGAGTAGGTAGGCATTTTGAGGGGTATGGAAGTAGCATCATCAGATTGCAGAGTTTGATGTTGCATCTAAATAATTTTTTTGTTAAAGCATTTATTCCTTCTCCTTGTGATTGTTGGTCGAGACATGTCCTTACATGTAATTTGCATACTCCACCTATACTAGGTTCAAACTCTTTGTTTTTGGCAGGCCTTGCAGGACCTACACTAGGGTTACCCCTTTTTTCTAGCACCCAAGTGTAAAGTTTCAAATTTTAACACATAAAAAAGGACCCTGGGCAGCCTGACCAAGCAACAGATCCATACAGATATTATAAACCAAGGCTGCATTTCTACCTCTTCTCAAAATGATTACACTCAAACCTCAGGTGTCATAAGTTCCAAAAAACACCACTCATCTAGTGTAACAAGGCAAAAACGATTTTATTCCTTACTAAACTAGTCTCCTAGGTTCCCTAAAATAAAATTGCCGGCACATGTGGTTCACAAGCACTTTTCTAGTGAAAATATAAGAATCGTCAAATTTATTGGTTTATTGTTTGACATACAATCTCATAAATAGGATAATGTTGTAAATAATTGTCGGGCATTCGATCACTTATTATCGATATAATAATTCGGAAAAACAACTTAACGCATGGAAAGAAGATCAAGAAACACCACTTCACTAAAGACAATAGGCAAACCTCGACAGATAACTAGTAAAAGATTAAACTGAAACTTAGATATCTCATGAAAAACCTTCACAAGATTTTCCGAAGTGTAAAGAATGGGAAGGTTTTGAGAGGGAGGAAAATAGCATCATTAAATTATAGACTACTTTGATGATGCATCTACCATTTATGCTGGGACAATGAATCTATTTCTTCTTCTGTTAATTCTTGGATACTTTTTCAGCACATGTTCACAGTAAATTCTTTTATTTGGTTTAGGGGAATCTGGGAAATCCGACCTGGTCCTGTGTTTTTCTAAATATGATCAGTAGAGATCACAGATATGTGAAGCCCCATCCTGATTTTCTAACAGAATGAGCATACTCAAGCTCTGTTCTGTGGGTTCCAAAAAGCTCCACTTCTCCAAGAGAACTCCCACAAAAATTGTTCCTTGCATCAGTAAACCATCCTTGCAGGCTCTCTAACATATACCATGTCAGCAAAAGCACCCTCAAGAACAAACTATTTTAAAACCTATAACAGTTGTTTCTCCACAAAGGATCTCATAAATACTAATAACGCTACGCCTGTGAAAATTTAATTCAGCACAAATTCTCAGGGGCTTACGAAGATTGGGAACACTATTTATTTCTCGATAGTAACCCAATCTAGAAAGATGATTGGAAAAGAACTAAATGGAGATGATCCGATGTCACGGACAAGTGCAACTAATTTGTACAGATGAGTGAAGCTGCTATCTATACAGTCACTCCCAACTACTTGGTTTCCAACTACCAAATTTATGCACCGTCTTTTCCACATACTTGGGCAACAAGCAACAATTCATTCGTAGTAGCAACTAAAAAGATGAAGGAACAAGAATTAGATCTTTATTAAGATAATTGATAGTTTATAGTAAATAACATTCAATAAGAGAACCCCCACAGGTTTCCAAACTGGAGGGCAGTTTTTCCAAACTACCTGGCCCTATCTGATACTCTATTTCTCAAAGGCGGTTATCGTATTAAATTTTAGGCCTTTGTCCGTCCGCAAAAAACTCCACCTTTCTATGCATGATATTCAGGCAAAACCAGTTCAATCTGTTAATCAACTACCTCGTAGGTTCCCTAAAAGCATATCCACTGCATGCAGTCACATACACATTCGAATAGGAACAAAATTATTATCATATCAAATCTAAAATGGTTGTCTTTTTACGTATGATCTCATGTAAACGACAGAGTACAAAATAATTGTCGGCCACTGAGATTACATATCCGGAAACAATAGAGCATCAAGACTAATTATATGGACGTGGGAAGGATCAGGAAACAAAACATTCCATTAGTGACAACCGCTACATGCTGGTATACGTTAAATGAATGTCTACATGGAGGTGATGGAGCTTCACTAATCTTGCATATCTTAAAAGTGCTCAAGAACCAGCAAACCAAACTAACACTTTCGCCATGAACAAAAAAATTTATCAGACAAGTAAGAGTGCAACCAACATAGTCACTCTCGAAACTGCATCCCAACTAGTTGAATAACAGGAACAAAACTCTTCGGTTGATTTTCAGTATATTACACAAACAAGTAGCAAACATTCCATTTGAACAAGCAAATAAATAAAGGTACCAGAAATAAACCACTATTTTAAGCCCTTAGATAGTTCATAATACATCTGCAACAACTTATAAACTCAAAATACTAGACTTCCTCTGAAAATCCATCAAGGAACATAAACGTCTTTATGGAAAGAAAAGAACACAAATGTGACACATTTATAATCCTTTTCATCTTTATTGTCGGTTATACCTTCAAATAGCATTTCAGGATTTGGACATCATCAGCCCTCGGAACATCCTGAAAACATTCGAAATTTAACCGCTAACCACCTGCAACAAGCTTATTTTCTCTGAAAGTAGCACAATCGTTATCTCAAACACATAAATTATAACTCCCAACAACACCATTCAAACAGAAAGATACAGGAACTAAACCTTTTGACGGGGTTCAGGAACTTTGTAGGAATCTGGGGTTATCGACCCCAAGTATGAACCAGGATATAGATTCTGCAAAAGAGAAAAAAACAAACCAAATACAACAAGAAATAGGTAAAACAGAAGCAATAGCAACCACATTAAAGAGTGAAAAGAGACTATAGAGCAAGCAATTCTTACATCAACCTGTTTCTGAACTGCCTTTGACCTCTTCTTTGGTTTCCTCGAAGGCCTTTTTCCAGTCATTAAGAGGAAGTCCTCTTCAATCTCCTGAGGAGTAAGCTCAATCGAGAAGTTTGTCACCGGGCACTTGTCTTTATCCTTCTCCTTCTCCTTAGCCTTCTCCTTCTTCTTCTCAGCCTTGGCGTCATTACCCCCTCCGGTCCCCTTAAGAGCTTTGTTCTCGGGCTTGGAAGATCCTCCAGCTTTAGATGTTCCTGATTTGCCAGTGGCAATGACATTGGAATTCGAAGGGTTCTGGATAGGCTTTCTAGGCCTCAAATTCCAAGTCTTTTCGATGACTTCATCGTCTTTAGGATCAACAACTGCTTTCTTGACCTCCTCTCCAACCTCGTCAGACTTATTCTTCAAACGAAGACGAATGTAGGTCTTGGGTTTCGCTTCTTTCCCTTTGCCCACATCATCTTCCGCCACCATCTTCTCCTTCGTTTTCTCATTCGTTCCCAGCAACCTTTTCTTCCCGATTTTATCATTAGAATCAGACACTGAAATCACCTTCTTCTCAATTTTGTGATCAGAAGAAGACATGGGACACCCATCTTGAACACCACCAGACGCCAGAATCTTTTTGTCATCATCCGAAGCGAAACCGCTTTGCAACAATGCGGCACACCTGGTCTCCGTCTCCGACAAATCCGTCAAAGTAGGGTTCTTAGGAGAGGAATCATCAGCGAGAGGAGACGGACGCCGAGGCCCTAAATTGAACGATGGAGATCGGTGCAACAATTCATGCCCAGATGGACGAGGTGAGTGCGGCGAGGCATCGGGAGTGGGGGGTGACGACGAAGAGGAGTCACCATGACCGAGTCTGGTACGGCCGCGAGTGTTGTTGTTTGCTTTCTGGCTTTTCGACCATTGCAGCTTCGGCAACGAGAAGTTGTGGAGTGGTTGAGACATTCTTACTTCTTCTCTGTAGAATTTCAAAATCTGAAACAACTAATCAAAGAATCTTCCAAAAAAACCAATGCATGCAAAGCTTTCAAAGAAGAAAAATATAAACCGAGAGCAAAAGAGAGAGAGATCAATGTATCTGAGTTTTCTCTTACGCTGATTACTCAGAAAATCCTCGTCTCTTCCCTTATATCGTTCGCAAAACTTCACAGAATAACCAAAAAAAAAAGAAAAAAAAAAAGTCACAAGCACCACAGAAAAACGTATTATACATGGATGAAAGGCAGAAAGAGATCAAAGACTAGATAGAGAGACGTTAGCTGTAATAGATCATTTCTTGTCTTACGTTGATTTGATCGGAGAAATTTCTCTGCTAACTCAGTGCATGCAAAGCTTCAATGGAGACATCTCTGAAACCCTAACAAGACGAGAGATTCGAACAGCTAGAGAGAAAGCCAAAGAAACCATGAGGAGCAAAAACAAAAACGCTAACAAAAAAACTTCACATATACATATCTCTCTCTATCTATATATACATATATATATTTCTCTCTCTCAGGGATTTCGCTTACCGAGCTTGAAGCTCCATTGCAGAGAGAGAGAGAGAGGAGTGGAGTGGAGTGGAGTGAAGACGGAAGGAGGGCAGTTTATAAGGTTCTGATAGTGGGAAGAAGGCGAAATACTTTTTATTGATTTGCCAAGTTTGTCCTTATAAATTAATGTATTTACGGGATTATTGTAATTTCGTTTGCTTTTGGCATTTTTACGGGAAAAAAGGGTTTTGAAAATAAAATAGCTTGATTAATCATGCGCCACGTGGGATCTGCATGTACACACGGCTCTGATCTGGTGGTCCCTACAAGTAAAATCCATGCGGAACCAAGGTGGTAGAGAAATTTTTTGGTGGGTTTCACACACCAGATGGTATCATGGGGTGTACATAATAAATAAAAAAATTGAGAAATGCTGCGTAAATTTAAAACTCTAATTTGACGACGTGGTTGTTATATTTATAATTAATTAATTATAGGTCTCAATATATATTGGGACCTACTATTTATTTAATAATAGTGATTCATCAAATTAATTTTTTTAATTAATTTTTTTTAAATCTATTTAGTATTTTCCTAAAAAATTATGCATACACGATGGATAATGATCATCTATTACCTTGTTATAATTTTTTTTGAAAAACCCGACTTGTGGGTCCCATAAATTACTTTTTAACATACCATAGAACTAACGAGCTTGNCAAAAAAAAAAGAAAAAAAAAAAGTCACAAGCACCACAGAAAAACGTATTATACATGGATGAAAGGCAGAAAGAGATCAAAGACTAGATAGAGAGACGTTAGCTGTAATAGATCATTTCTTGTCTTACGTTGATTTGATCGGAGAAATTTCTCTGCTAACTCAGTGCATGCAAAGCTTCAATGGAGACATCTCTGAAACCCTAACAAGACGAGAGATTCGAACAGCTAGAGAGAAAGCCAAAGAAACCATGAGGAGCAAAAACAAAAACGCTAACAAAAAAACTTCACATATACATATCTCTCTCTATCTATATATACATATATATATTTCTCTCTCTCAGGGATTTCGCTTACCGAGCTTGAAGCTCCATTGCAGAGAGAGAGAGAGAGGAGTGGAGTGGAGTGGAGTGAAGACGGAAGGAGGGCAGTTTATAAGGTTCTGATAGTGGGAAGAAGGCGAAATACTTTTTATTGATTTGCCAAGTTTGTCCTTATAAATTAATGTATTTACGGGATTATTGTAATTTCGTTTGCTTTTGGCATTTTTACGGGAAAAAAGGGTTTTGAAAATAAAATAGCTTGATTAATCATGCGCCACGTGGGATCTGCATGTACACACGGCTCTGATCTGGTGGTCCCTACAAGTAAAATCCATGCGGAACCAAGGTGGTAGAGAAATTTTTTGGTGGGTTTCACACACCAGATGGTATCATGGGGTGTACATAATAAATAAAAAAATTGAGAAATGCTGCGTAAATTTAAAACTCTAATTTGACGACGTGGTTGTTATATTTATAATTAATTAATTATAGGTCTCAATATATATTGGGACCTACTATTTATTTAATAATAGTGATTCATCAAATTAATTTTTTTAATTAATTTTTTTTAAATCTATTTAGTATTTTCCTAAAAAATTATGCATACACGATGGATAATGATCATCTATTACCTTGTTATAATTTTTTTTGAAAAACCCGACTTGTGGGTCCCATAAATTACTTTTTAACATACCATAGAACTAACGAGCTTGAATTATACCACAGCATGGAGAGGTCCAATAGGGTATTGGTCGAATTTCTCACCCTATGTTAAAGGTTCGACTTTGGAATCCATATTAGGACTCGGTAGTTGACCGCTATACTAACCTAGCTAAGTTTGTTCTCAAGAGGAGTAATGAGCACAGTCAAGGGTCTCACGATTCCACTAGTAAAGGCTTCTCAGGATAATCTCTGAACGCTCTCATTTGTCCTAACCCTTAAAAAAGAAAACTTAGCCAAAAAAAATAATTTGCATTACTATTATAATACGAGTAATGTTATTAGAATCTAAAAATTTAACGTGATCTATTAACCTAATGATGTGATTTTATTATAATATTTGAATTAACAACAAATTCTAATGTTTGATAGAACTCGTAGTCAATCCAATGATTATAGTGAATTAAATAAATAAATTAAATCTCAATAGCATTATTAGTATAGTAAACAATTCAATATTTATGAACTTGGAGTAGGTGCGAATGACATTAAAAGAGATAGGGTGGGATTAGGGTTTAAAAAAATAAATGAGTTGATAGGGTACTTGTCAGCCACATTAATTATGGTTTAACAAATTCATTATGCTTATCTAGCTCTTTTATTAGGGTATACAATTGGTTATCGACCATATCATGTTAAGACTTGGAAGTATTTATATGTTTGATTAATGGATTAGACCAGTTGATTCGTTTTTTCGTTGTTGCACGAGACTCTGCATGCTAGTATTCATTCGCATGCTAGTATTCAATTGATGATTCGTTATAGGACGGGTTTATATTAGGAGGGTCTAGTCTACTTTGCTCAATTTTGTCAACATTTAACTTGCTACTATTTATGTCCAAAAAAACAGAAAACTATTACAAATGCATTGGTTTACGAAAGCAGAAGATTGTAAAACTCTTTGCTTGTACAGTTCGTCCTGCACTGCATCTCAAAAAGTATCAGGAAAATCTTTCTGAAAACACAATGTCGTAACCTAGACCAAAAAACCCCCAATGAACCTGCGACAACACCACTCTAGTTAAGCCAAAAGCATGCACATAGAACGCGCAAAACGACACCAACAAGGTAATAGTAAATCACGTAACAGTTACAAAAATCAGTAACGCACTCGTATCAGAGTATGACATTCTTGCATTCAAGACATTGTTCCATCAGATTAGGAAGATTACTTCTATAAATAGAAACAGCCATACATGAGATATTAGAGATAACAAGATACACAGGTACACCCTAGTTAAACGACTCGGGTGTGCATGAGAGCATTCGTTTGCTACTGCATGAGCAGATTACGGGTTAAAAAAGTGACCATCACATGTTACAAAAGCATCTCAATGGCATGTGTCGACAACTCTCCACAATAGTCATACTTCATCATTCCAAATATTGGACATATATAAAGACAAGAGTCCTACATTTATATGTTGGTAGCCATAGCCTCTGCCTCTGCCTCTGCGTGTTCAAATTCTTCTACCCCTATCCTGCAGTGTAATGTATACAGCATGCAGTGTCATGTCATCAGCCAACCTACCAGAAACAATAAAGAAGATAAGAATCATAACAAAGTAGCTAAATATTAGCGGCATACCAAAACCAAAGAATATGCAAGACTTGCTCAATCGAAATGAAAATAAAAGGTCCAAATTCAGCAGAAATTCTGGAGCTTAAATAAATGGAGAATGATTGCAATTAGTGGCTACATAACAGGATCAGTTAAGCAAGCTGGCTCTTGTAATTTACAAACAATTCATCTTCCATTTAGAGGAGAACCTGAAAATAACATATTTAGAAGCAGCAATCTAGATAAATTATGTATCTTAAGATCTAGAGACTATTCAAATTTTCGTCTATCATATCTAAACGTTGTCTTATTCTTCTCCATATAAAGACAATAGGTCCTCAAGTAAAGCAGAACACATTTTGAAGTTCAGGCATTTGTTGGAAGTAGCACATACTTAAACAAATAAGATCATTAGAAGATTAATATTGTATTAGAAACCATGCCCTTCAAGCTCAGACTTCTGCCTTTTCTCCAATCAAAGAAAAAACTCGAGACAACAAGAGCCTGAGGAATATCTGAACATGTTGTTGGATGGATACTTGAGTGCTGCCATGTCTTTTTTTTTTTTTTTTGAATAAGCAGTGCTGCCATCTCAAAAAGGTCAGATACTGCTCGTTATCATTTACACCTCTAATTAACTACAATATATGCAATCATTACCCACAGCTTTCAGAGATTTGTAACCAACTCTTAGACTGAAGGGTAAAAAAAAAAGGATTTGCCAAAATCTAAAGTTCCATGGCATGGAAAAGCTGCTACAAGGTAAATAATCATCACAGTATGGGATTTGTTCTAAGGTTCAGACATATAGTTCACTAATCGGAGAGAAGACAGACTGTGAAAGCTAAAGAGTAAAAACTATCTATGAGTAACTTCTACTGCCTTTGGACATTGAATAAAGAGAAACTATACATGGCCAAAAACACCATTACCCAACTCAAATGGAATGAAAGGGAGAAGAAAATCAACAGGATTTTTAAGTTGGCTAACAATGCCTGTTAGAGTAGTCGAAGTCTTTATCCTTCTTTTCCTTTATTCTAATTTTTTCCATGAAAACAACTGTAGTCATTTTTCATGTTGCTTTAACCTATGTTGAGATCAACCCAAGTTGAAGCGTAAATGTATACAATTGAACTCTCTTTGAGATAAAGAA